ACCATCCAGTCCTGTTGAGTTATTTCATTACATACAAATCTGTAAAAATACAAATCTTTCCTTTTCATAATATTAGTGTAGATTTTTGTTTCTTTATGGTCATGATACGACCTTTCAAAATTAAATAACATTTTACTCTAATTCATGCATTATCTATGGTCATTTAAAACGAATAAATTCTACATTCAAGTCATTCAACAGAGCGCAAAATTTCAAACGACGTAAAACAGGGATCGTGAACATTTTACTAAAGAAGTGCATAGTACATATAACCGATGGTTGCACATTACGACAGAACAAGGCTATTAGAACGGCATCGTGATCGAAGCGAGTAATGTAGCAGAAAATAGAATTTCCCCTATTGTATGCCTGCGACAATATCAAGATGAATTGACCGAAATTATTTTCTTTCTATAGCCTTTTAAAAGCTATTGAATGATTGATTTTATTTTTTATTTTTGTGGCTTGAAAACTGCTCACAACTTGCTCTCAGTGGTAGTGCCCGCTTTAACATCTTAGCCCGAATGGGCTGGCACGCCCGGTGTAATACCACGACCACACAGAAGACAGGTGGGAAGTGGAAGCAATTCCGTATTTCGTCTGATGAGTGTAGTGTCGGAGGCCTAATTTAAGTCCCTTTCTCTTTACCACCCTTTTCTTGTAAGGAGAGGATGGGAAGGGGCAGTGGATTTCACGGTGGAGGAGATGCATAGGAGGGGGAAGTGTCCTCTTTATGTGCGTCTTCTCCGCCGACGGATAAGGGTAGGCAGCGCATCTGCAATTGCGGATGTTTATGGGCAGCGTTCGCTTTCCATTTTGGTGGATTCAGGTGGCCGCTTACTCGTTTGCCACCTTATATTATAAAAAAAGCAGTGGTTCAGATAAATCCCGACATCCACGGAACCCCAGTGATAGGAAATAAAAACGTTCACAAGATGAAAATAAAATTGTATTTAGAGTTTACTGAATCCAGTTAATTTTGAAAGGAAATCTTCTAAAAAAAGGTTAAAGATCTCTGCTTAAATCGACATGAATCTCCGTAATCTCTTTTAGTTTGTCTCGTGTTGGAATTTTGTTATAAAGGCATTTCATTCTGACGTCACCACTTCGGAACATAATTAAAAGAATTTCCTCCGGTTTCCTGTAACAAAAACCTGGAAAACCGGTTTCCGTTGTTTGCGTGAAATTCAATTAAAAATGCATCTGGACGAGGCATACCGGCATGCTTTCGCTTTTCAAATTCTCATAATGGATTCTTTTTTGTTTTATTTGTGTTCTAAATTCAAATTGTTAATTAAAAATTGCGACGAGATTTCTAATTTAGATAATGTCTTAAAAATGTATCATGTGCTTTTTCTAGACACAAATTGAAAGGATTTTTATTTATTTAAAATCAGTCCTTTGTAGTACAGCATTTGAGTCGATATTACCTTGAAAGTGATTTTATATTTGCAGCACAAATTACAGAAATCTTATAAAACATCGCAATTATATTTTCTTTATAAAAATATATATTGTTTTTATTTTATAATACAGTACAGTGATTTACCCTACAGATAGAAATAAACAAGTAAACATTTATTTTTAAAATCTCGTAAATAAGTTTAAATTGAAAATTTTAAAGCGGAACAATAGAAATACTTTATAGTAATATGTATATTCCGAATGCAAATTTCTCATTCAAGCATTTCTATATCGTGTGAATTTGAGAGATTCATTTTATGCAGTGGGCGTGCTGCAATATTTTTCAGAACATTTCCGTCTCAAAGGCATAAATTTTATTGCAGATAACTTACCCTACGAGTACATTGCGATGTTACTTACTATTACATTATGATATAAAATGAGATTCAATAATAAATACCATAAACATAAGGAACAAACGTTTAAAGCAGTTAATGTAAAGCGCCTTATAAAATTAAATTATTTTATTCGTAAAAAAAAGATTGCTATTTTTTATTCTATGTACAAAAATTCGCCGCAAGTTTACGCTCGCTTACATTCCCTTGTTATTTTTGTGGTATAGCTTCTAACAAACTGATATTTTAATAGAATCTTCCGGTCAATTCTAGGAATATCATTTTAAACCGCGTCACGTCAGAGCGCGTCTTTAGAGCAATCAATGCCCATGCGAGTGCTACGTGTACTAAATACTAGGATTAGTTATTATTGAAGAGTTTCAAAACACTCGTACAAAATATTGCTATCCTACTCTTTCTCAAGAAAATAAAACCAAAAACATTTTATTGTAAAGAAAGGCGTGCCTTCAGTTCACACAAGACTAATTGTTGCTTGCGACGCGCGTGGTATTATAAACTATATAATTATTTATGTACTCTTGACTGCAATCTATTTTTGTTCCAAACATTCCGATCTGTTTAGTCGTTCTGGATTTATTAGTAACATTCATACAAACTTTCCCATGTACTTTTACTACTTCGTATTTTTACAGATAAGAGGAAATTAACACTAACATATCTTTTGCAAAAATATCGCATATTAATAAACGTAGTAACCGGAGAGCAAGTTTACTTGTTCTGCCCAAAGTACGAAGCAACTATGGCGTAAAAAATATCAATTTCGAAGGAGCACAACTTTATAACAGCTTACCATCCTCCATTAAAAATGCGGATTCACTTAATATGTTTAAATTAATGTTAACAAAACATATATTAAAAAATTGTACAAAATTTATGTAAAAAGAACATAGGCGACAATCAACATATTGTAAATGTAAATCCTCATGTAAGTGACTACATGTCTTTTTGGGAATAAAAGTCTTTAAACATTAAACATTAAATCCCTTGATATTTTTTTAAACAAAATGTTAGTACATAAATAGATTTTTTTTCAGGTGTTCAAATATGCTTGGACTGTGGCACTTTGTCATCAAGATATTTTCGTAAATAACGCATTACAATCAAGAAAATCTGATAGCCAAAATAAACATCATAAATTTTTCCTGCAGTGTCACTGAATGACGTGATATTAAATTAGGAAGAAATAGTAAAGCTTGCTATACACGATTAGTATGAACTAACCAGTTAGAATTGTACCGTTCGACGTCCAGTTAATACTGAAGGTGTGTAACGATATTAATCTAAAAATAGTCTTTCTTAAAAGTTGTTACTGAGAAATTGTACAAAATACTTATTTTACATACTCCTTTTTCTTGTCTGTAATTTAAGCATTATCCAGGTTAAGGAACCTTTATCGCTACAGTTTTATGGTGCGACGGTAATTGGCTCTATAATTCACCATTTTCCGCGTTTCCTTACATTTTCTCGGATTTCCTTTTTACAACTCTGTAAGAGCTTGTTCGCTCTTAATTAAAACAGCCTTGTTGATATTTTTTTTGTTTCGATATATTGCAGTATCACAATATTTTTTACAGACATCGTAAGTTAAAATAGTAGGTCTTAATAGGACGTCGGTTGTAATGACAAATCCAAAACCGTCAATAAATTTTTAATTAAACTTTGCTGGTCCTTAAAATGTAATAAACCGTGAATACTTTATATTTTATATTTCATGACCGTATTCTGAAACGAATTACAAACACTTCGCATTGTTATTTAAGGTTTAAATGTCGTTTCACTAATCTGCCGTTATGGTTACCGTAATACCGACCTCGGGTGGCCAGATCGCGCTGTATGCGAATGTTATTTTTCTTTTTTACGTGAGACGAACACAGAAAAACTTTTTAACATATCAGCAATCGAATAATCGTTGGTCCTTCGAGCCAGATCTATTTCGACTTGTTCGTAATTTATTCAATAATTTATATATTTATAGCGTCGGGTGTTAAAAGCAAAAGATTCAAATATTCAATATTCATTACCTAAATGAGCTCCGGATATTTTTCAAAGAAAAATTCTTTTCATGTTTCAGAAGAAAAGCGTGAAAACATACGCCATCTTCGAAAGCGTGTAGCTTTAGAATGAAATACATTTCCTTGCCTGAATATAAATTACCATCTTAGATATTTCCATTCGTCTACATCGATTGAATTCGAAAAGCTTATTTCATGCTTTGGACGTAGAGTAATGTTTATCAGGGCACTTCAGATGTCCCAAGCGTATGAGGATCACGGGTACACTCGTAGCATAATCAGAATACGATAAAGTATTCAAAAATGTAACATTATTTTACAAAATAACAGTTGTTTATATTAATTTAGTGAATCTTTTTTAAACGTGGTAACCGCTTTGTTTGATGATTTTATTCAAACAAATGTGTCGACAAAGATCATTCACTGAGCACTTAATGTGGTGTTTTATGTAACTACGAATTACTATATACTTCTTACTGGTGGTACTGGTATGGTAATTAATGTGATTGTGGGTAGATATAGAGGAAGACCGAAGAAAGTATGAATGGATTGAGTTAAAGAGGATACGCTAGAGAAGGGTGTTCAGATATGACGTCAGATAGAAATGTATGGAAAAGTACATCGGCTTGCCGATTCTTAGAAGAGCTGTACCTACGAAGTGCCCCCTGTGCGTTTAATTAGTTTTAGCGATGGTAAAAAACTTTCACACGAGTACTACTTTTGTTTTCTTGTCTAGATATTTGTTTCAGGTTAAAAGTATATTTGAACTAAACGGGTTCCGCGTACTTTTAGTATGACGGTCAAGAGGTAGAAATACTTCTATGAAGGGTACTTGAAGCTCAGGTCCAAATATCGATCGTAACGGTCTCCAAGGTCTATTAATTTGTGATTTTAAAATCACTATAAAACGAATATTTACCCCTTGACCTCCTTTTGTATAACTGTGGCTCACTATTGACGAAAATGAAAATTAAAATCTTGGTAAAAATATTTTAATTTTATTATTTAGAAGGAGGAGAACTATTTGAATAAATTTAGTCATAATGGAGTTTATAATTCACATGTCAGTCTAGAAGTAAAGTAATTATTAAAAATTGAAGTCATTTTAGAAGACGGCGGAAAAGATTTAACAGATTGCAAAAAGTAAAGGTTTTTTTATCTTTTCCAGCTGTAACCAGTAATTTGCACGTAGAGCTGACAGTTGACCCACCAGTAGTCATCAGGGATATTCCAGTCATGCTAATATGTTCAAGAAATATAAAAGACGAAGAGGTGTACACTGTGAAATGGAGCCGAGGGACCCACGAGTTCTTTCGATACACACCAAGAGATGAACATCCCTTTAAACAGTTTGGTTTACGAGGATTGTCAGTCAAGGTAAGTAATTATAAAGAGTATCTTAATAAAAATGTCAGAATAAGGAGTAGCGAACATCACGTATCTACTAATGAGGAAGGTGAGAAAGGCGTCACATAAAAAAAATATATGTCTTACTCCCCTAAGTCACTGTCGAGACAATTGCAGAGAAGTCGAGGCTTATCAGGATATTGTTAATAGAGTGCCTTTGATTTTCACTTCGGTTTCTTTTATTATTATCATACGTTAAAATGAAGCCAATCCTCTAGAATCCATCAAACTCTTCCTATGTCCTGTGGAATGTAAGAAATAAATATTGGAAAATATGCCACAAGAGAGAATTCTATCAAATACATCTGTTTTTATATGAAAAGGTAACATGTTCGAATCGTAATTCAGTCGTAACGGCTGGTTTCAATATGAAGAAAAATTGTCGAAGCGTACCTGATGCATGGAATTCGAAATTCATATTGGATTGGATTTCGTTCAAAGAATTCCGTACTACGATTCCTGTGTTTCGTTTTGTATCTGATTTAATTAATATATAGATATTGTAAAATCTAGCATGTTCAGGAAATATAAAATAGATTCATCTTTTTTACAAAAGTCTTCTATCTTAAGTCTTCGTTTTGGGAGACGAACAAATGTCCATTACAAAATCCGAAACATAGGCATTTGTAATAATCGCAGATTGTTGGAAAGAATGAACAGAAAAGTTTACAATACCCTTAAAGTATTTAATTAGTCAATTGAGGACCTTTTTATGTAGGGTTAGTAAGAGTTGTATATACTGATGTGTAAATATTTCTTTAAATAAAACCTTAACCATAAACATACTTTGAGTTCGGTAATCATGTACTCTAACCTAACCTTTGCTAAACTCGAAGACTCAGTTATTTTGTGTATATCTTTCTCATTTATACAGTACTAGCTGTTCCCCTGCGACTTCACCCGCATCAACTTATAAAAATGTTATTTTATAGTTTACATGTGTCAAATAATCATTGACAAATGTCAAAATACCAATTACCTTACTATGGCAATTTTGCTTTCTTGATGTTGGCAGCAACTTATGGTCTCTTTCCCACATTAGGGTTTTTATCCAAAAATATTAACCCCTTATGTTTAATGGCGTGAAAATACATAGTCTAAAGCATGACGTAAGTGTAGGATTTTTTATTACAATAAGAATTATTCAAAAATATGCTGTAATTGCTAACATCTTAGGCCACAAAGAAGTGTGTGTTTACGCTTTATCATAATAGTATAGATGAACGTTAGCTATGAGTGTGGAAGGGTACATCGGTAGAGGTAGACGTAGAAGAGATGGATGGATTCCGTGAAGGTGACATGATCGAAAAGGGAGTAATGACTGAGATGACGTATGATAGAGTTATGCAAGACAAAACCTGTTGCGCCGACCCTACGGGAGTAGGATAAGGAGAAAGATGAAGATAATGAGTATGTATTCTCAAATTTCAGCTGTACGGGTCAAATGGCACACATGTCATGGTGAATATTTTCGAACATGAACTATCAGGTGACTTTAGCTGCGAAGTTACATCGGAATCGAGTTTCATCACAAAAAATGACACCAAGTTTATTGAAGTTATTGGTAAGTGTTACTTTATATAATTTTTTAATTACGATATTCATAGTACCATCGCATTATACATTCCGTAAGAATTTTATCTAAATCTTTTTTATGATTTGATACTTCATTCATTATTCATGATTCATAAATAACATTATACAATTTTATTATTACGAGTAAATTTTTGGAAAAATGTACTTACATTATAGAATTTACTAGCTCTCGCTCGCGACTTCTTTCTCGTATAATTATAAAACAAAAGCAAAAGTAGCCTGTATGTTCTCCCAGACTATCCTCTACATCTACGCCAAATTTCATCAAGATCCGTTCAGCAGTTTAAGCTATAGACTCTAGCAAACATCCATCCATCTAAACAATCGCATTTATAATATTATTCAGATTAAAAGCGAAAATTGCAATTAGTATGAAAAGGTAATCGCTTTTTATTCTTATTTAGGTTGACTGCACACGTATTTCTAGTTCGATAATCTCTTGTACGTTACTTCACTGTAGTTTGTATTCAGCTTATCGCTCCCTCCTAACGTGTACGAAGGCATAAACATCGCATGATATACGCTAGCCTCCCGATAGTTCAATATCTTAGTACAGCGTGATTTAGTGTCATAATTTGATTCTGTATTGAGCTATAAATCGTCACCCATGTCGTTGAAACGAGTGTTTACTTCTCAATAGGACGTTACTTTAGCTACCCGATTTATATATTTTTCTCTTGGCTTTAATATACACTTATAATCACGCTATTGTAAACTAAATGAAGTGCTCACTTTTTCTATTATTTTCCAAACAAGTTATAATTTAAGATGAATAAATTCGATTATAAATTGTTAGAAGTACAGCAGCTTAAACTAGGTATCATGAGAATACATCATAAACATATACACAATACAAAACTTATTAACTAGCAATTGCCCGCGACTACGTCAACGCAATATTAAGATAATAAAAAGTAGCCTATAATATGCCCGTCTATGTCAGCTACCCTTCAGTGAAAGTCCAGTCGAAAATAGCCCAGCCGTTTCGGTGATTACCCGGAACAACACCTTGCGGACAGACAGACAAACATTTTTTAAATGCGATTTTCGCTATCAGCAACGCAAATAAATCATTTTCCCGAAAACTGGAGTTTTTTTTAATATATATTACAAATAGACTCTCCAATTTTATTATATGCACAGATATATATCATTTTCCAAACAAATGAAAGCTTAAGAAGACTAAATTCGACTACAATTATTGGAAAACAGAATTTTAATCTAGGAATCATGGGTATCACATATGGACAACAATGGAAAAACTTATGTAGGAATTTCTTCGTTCTTTTCTTTAAAAGAAAGGAGATAAACATATTTGTGCACGTGGTAACGTGAAAACCCTCACTTACATTCGATATGTTAAGGGTAAAGTAAAACTGAACAGTTTTACAATTGAAAGTGGTAAAATGTAAAATAGAGCACGGACAGCAAACAATATCAATTTATATTCTGCATCGTATTCTGCGAGCGTGGCAATAGAATTTTCTAGAGAACACTGCTTCTCGAATATTCTCCGTATTTTCTAGTGTCTATAAAATTTGATTCTTCAAAGAACAAAACTTTTTATATAATTTAAGAGTCCTTAGAATTATTGACTCGCGTCTTTAAATATTTGAGATTCTCTTATAATTATGATTACAACATTTTTATTTATTAAAACACTGAATTTTAAAATGGAATGGCTATAGGACGTGGCATTCTTGTTTCTGAATTTTAGCTATTTTTCGCTGACGGTCGCGATGGTGAGGATCAATAATAACAATAAAAAAATTGACAGTTAATAACATAAACACGTGCGCTTAAGGCTACTTTTTATCTTAATATTGCGTGGACGAAGTTGCGGGCAACAGCTAGTAGATAATAAAAAGGTAGGAGGGATGGTAAAGGAAGGTAGAAAACTATAAATTTCTGTATTTTGCAATTGAACGTTTGTTTATTAATTTCCAGCCTTACCTCCCTACGATCCAATACTGAAGACTAACGAGGACCGATACAAGCCTGGAGATGAACTGATAGCGAATTGTACCTCGGGCCCAGCGAAACCCATACCAAATCTAACAATATCTGTCAACGATGAACCGGTTAGTAAAAATGTTATTAATTCTATGTTAATTACAAGTAATTTCCTCTTCCAAAATATCTAATACAGTTTTCCTTAGATGTTTAAAAATTAGAGCTAGCAAAAGTCTGTTGCATGAATGGATTGATTTGATTTCTACGACTATAGAAGTTAAGAAATTAAAGAAATGCCACATATCGCTTGGCGACTGCGTATGCTGCAGGCCCAATAGTGCCGTTTGCCTTTGCATACTTTTTTAAAAGAAAATAATGGAAAGGTCAAATAGATTCGACAGAGGAGGGGCAACTAAAAACATCCTGTTCCGTGCGCTTTTCCCCTTTACTTTTTCATCTCCAATTATCTTCCATCCATTGATATTGGTGTCGTATTAAACAAATAGTATTGTGTAATTACTGTTATTAACTTTTTTATTTTCGATTTCCAGCTACGCCCTTTAAGCACGACGTGGCTTTCGTCGCATGATAGGGCGCGAGCTATCGTCAAGATGAAACTGACTCCGGCGCACTTCTCCGCCGGTCTGATGCGGCTGTCGTGTCGCGCCTCCATCTATGACGTGTACGCGAGAAAGCGAAACGTGGACTTCTTTGCGCCTAATAACGGTCCTAGACCGGAGAGAAGTAAGTAATGTTAGGATGATAACTGCACTAGATTGGCGCAAAACTAGCTCATTCGTCACGTCCCGTCCCTATGACAGCTGTTAATGTGATTCAGACATTAGAATAGCACGCCATTCTAGAGGGTGGATACTCAGTCTACTATTATATTATTGTTTAACTGTAATAAGACACACTTTTATTGCTAGTAATATTCACCAGTAATACTTTTCGCTTTATGGGATAGTTTGAATAAACGCCTTAATGTGACGTGGTTAATGGTGAAATGTTAGAAATAAAATTTTGGACTAGTGGTCCAGGGCCAAGTACTTACGTTGTATCAAAATGTCCTTATTTTTTTTATAACATAAGATGGCAAACGAGCAAGAGGCCACCTGAATCCGCCAAAATGGCGAAGCGACCGCTGCCCATAGACATCTGCAATTACAGATGCGTCGCCTATCCTTATCCGACGGAGGAGGAGACTCACATAAAAAGGATATTTCCTCCTCCTATGCATCTCCTCCATCGTTAAATCCACGTCCCCTTCCCATCCTCTCATAAGAAAAGGGTGGTAAAGAGAAAGGGACTTAAATTAGGCCTCCGGCACCACACTCATCAAACGAAACACGGCATTGGTTCCATTTCACGCCTGTCTTCAGTGTGGTCGTGGTATTACACCGGGCGTGCCGGCCCTGCAGTGCTATGATGTTAAAGCGGGCATTACCACTGTTAATCTGTCAGAAGGGGATTTATTAACGTCTCATAGAGTTTTTTTTAAAAGAGTTGTAGACAGTGCCGACCGTACATGAGTTGAGCTCTAGTTTGCCTCTTATAAAATTAGAAAGGTTACTTTACAATTTAATATAAGGTTTTATGACCCTGTATTATATATTAGTTACAATATGTTTGAAATATTGTCATATGTTTAAGAAAAGTTTTGTAATGTTTTCAATTTTCTCTGTTTCAGTAACACACAGCAGCAGCGCCACTTCATGCTTTATTAATTGGTTCCTGGTATTGTTATTGTTATTCTTACCTATGGTTATTTGTCAAGATTATGAAGATTTATTAGAAACTGCATCTAATGATGCATTCCAATACTACGACGAAGAAAGTGAAATTAACGCAATGATATCTGCTATTGGTTAGATTAACTTTGAATGCAGTTGGACCTAGAAAAGCGAGATATGTAGTACACGACCGTAGTAAGGGAGAAAATTGGATTAGAGAGAAATGAGCACAGGAAGAAAATCCTCTTTATGTGCAACTCTTCTAACTATTAAGGTTGGGCAATGTTTCTGTAATCGGTCTATGGGCGGTCACTCAACCATTTTGTTGGATTCAGGAGATTTTTTTTTTATAATGTAAGGTGGCAAACGAGCAAGCGGCCACCTGAATCCACCGAAATGGAAAGCCACCGCTGCCCATAAACATCCGCAATTGCAGATGCGTTGCTTACCCTTAATTGACGGAGGAGACGCAAATAAAGAGGACATTTCCCCTTCCTATGCGTCTCCTCCACCGTCAAATCCACTTTTTCCTTCCCATCCTTACCTCTTAAGAAAAGGGTGGAAAGGGAAAGGGACTAAAATTAGGCCTCCACACTCATCAAACGGTACGCGGAATTGCTTCCACTCCACGCCTGTCTTTTGTGTGGTCGTGGTATTGCGGACGAGCCGACCCTGCAGTGCGAAGATGTTAAAGCGGGCTCTACCACTGTTAGGATTGTTCGTATAAAAATAAAACTCTTTAACAAAAAATACATTTGAAGTCTTGCTTTTCTAGGTTACACTGTATTAGAACGAATTTAGTGTATTTAAAAAGATTTAAAAGTCATACCTAAATGACACTGCTGTGACTGTTTTTAAAGTCATAGTTATCCCTGTTTTCTCATAAATGTTGGTGGGACACCAAATTGTGAATTGTTTTATAACAATCCAACGTGTAAAATATGTGATGAAAATATCGGATTTTGTTCCCTTATTTGACTGACGTCATTTAAGCTATCTAAGTCTCTAGTGGTGGGATAGGCCCTAAGAGGGATAACTTTATGTATAGTAAAGTAAATGTGTACATAAGAAAGACTGCGTGCAGTTCTATAGTAATACAGATTTCAATGCGATCACTAGATATATGTAATAAGTAATTTTTAATTTATTCATTAGTATTAAATTTTTATTAAGAAAAGTCACTATGTATAAGTAAGCGTAAGATCGTACAAATGTAATATCACCCAAAAGCGTAATAATATTAATATGAAATATAAATATAAATGCGAAAGTTTAGATGGATGGATGTTTCTTAGTTTATAGCCTAAACGGCTGAACGGATCTCAATAAAATTTGAAATAGACTTAAAGGATAATCTAGAAGGACATATAATCTACTCACTTTTGTTTTTTTTTTTAAATTTACATGCGGATGGAGGTTGGGTGAATGCTAGTATTGAATACTGTATTCAATAAAAAAGTTTGGTTATCATGAAAAAGTCAAACTAAACTTAGATAGCTCATTAGCTCCACTTAAAAATTAAATCATTTGTTAAAATTTAAACTTATTTTAAATACTGTTACCATTTGTTATATTATTGTTGCTATTATGGGCGTCGCCAGATTATAACCTAGGCTAGATTTGAAGGACACAACATGAGCATGGCATGAGGTGGCCTTTCCTGGTGACTCCCATGGTTAGTAATTTCTCAGTTAAAGTATTTCGCGATTTGTTAAATATTTCATATTTTATACCAGCACTAGAATAGCTAGCGTAAGTTTTCGAATTTGCGTATAAGCAAAGACATTTAATAGATATATAGACTTGGCATAGTAAACAACATTTTTTCACCCGTAATTTCTTTGAAAGGTACTATATCAGTTGTCAAGTTTAGTATTCTATAAATTAAACTTAACAGAGGTATCAAAATAAACATTTAAATATTATTTAATTATATTTGCTATTTATTTAAATATTAATTAATTACATTGACAAGTGTTTTTTTATGTCAAAAATATTTCAATTGAAGTTCCATCTTTGCCTACTCTATATATTTGTAAATCTCTGTGTATAAGTCTTTTTAAATATCTTAGCAGCTCAAAGACTGTAATGAGTATTAATGCTCCCTCAGTTTTGATGCCCTACACCTAAAATTGTTTACGAAGCTCGTATTTCCTGAGCCACTAAAATGTTTGAAAACTGTACTAAGTAAGCCTTCGGGTAATTTAAGTACAGTGGTGTGTACTGTACTGTACTGTACTGTACTGTACTGTACTGTACTGTACTGTACTGAGTTGACTTATCACGTCTCCTAATTACCATCATTAGTATCCTAATTATGGTACCTTATTTGGTAACAGTGTACAGATTGAGTTATTTCATGTGATATTTAGTGTAAATGACGACTGCGTTGTTTTAATACATTTTTTGTTGTTGTTGTTGTAATAGTTTAGATAATTAGTTCGTTACTACTTTGTATAGCGTTTTATATGTTAATTTCATATTTTTAGTTAAAACTGAAAAGATAATATAACGACGTAGAAGAATGTCCAAAAAATTTGCGTTTCAATAAAATTGACATATTTAAAGATTGGTAAAATTTAAACGAAATGTAATTAAACTTATAAACAATTGTACAATATTTTTAATTAAAAAATTCAATTTTTATCGCATCACTCATAAGGTTTGTTGTGCACGTAACAAATACTGAACTTACTACAATCATTTCTCATATTTGTTTTATGTATTTTGTAAATAAAATTACGTAAAATTACGTTTTGCCTTATTTTAGATCATAGATATAATTTTTAATTTTGAACCTTTTAAATGACTTAGTTTTTCAAACACGTTTAGAAACAAACTTCAAACCTTTTATACTACGACTCTAACGACAACTTTGCCAAATAGAATTGGAACATTATTTATTATGTATAGACTTGATGAAATGCAATCTTGACCAAAAACAAATAAAACCTCAATAAGAAAAGCAGTGCTTTGTTATTTTTTTATCTTGAAATATGACCAATTTGACGTTCATGATAGTACTCGTATTCAGAGGTTGCCAAACAATGCTTATCATGTTTTTAACGGTAATTTTTAGATTAATACATTCCAATATTCATAGTTATAAATATGAGGGAAACATAAAAGAATAATAAAAATAAACTTTAATAGTAAACTATCAAAAGAACCTTCTTCTATACTCTTAAAGAGTCCTCGTCCGTAAATTCTACATAGATCACTTCTTTTTATTAAATTAAACTGTTCTTATTTTGAATATGACTGTATCACTTTAGTAGACAGCATTTTTGGTGTCAATGTACAAGAATTCAAGTAGACATATGATCGTATATCCATTCAATGTAAGGGCCAATTGGTGCAACGATACCAGTGACATCTCCTGGTCTCTTAACTGTTTTATCATAACAATACATTGATAGATCACTGATGCCTAATATACCAACGATTCCCGAGGGATGTATGAGGGGTCCACCGGTGTCTCCAGGACAAGTCGTCGCCACTTGCCCACATTTCGATGCTAAACACAACGCAGGCTCCAATAAATCACTATTCAAACATCTAGAAATCAATACTTTAAGTATTTGCAACGGCTTCTTAAGCACTAAAGTATCATGTGTTTCTGTTCTACCAGATGAACTCTTTTGCATAATTAAACCGTAACCAGCAAAAATAGCTTCATGTCCGTAGAGTGAGAAGAAATCTACAGCGCTCAATTTCATGTAGTTCTCTAAATCCATGGGCGTTGTTTTCATCAGACCTATGTCGTTCTTTATGATCGGGTTTTTGTTGTAATCGTCGAATGTATATGAGAATAGAGGATGTGTAATCATTGATACTACGTCACTGAAAGATCCTTCTATCCAGGGTGAGTGTTCAACGTGGCCATGCCTTACTATCAGCTTCTCGAGTGTGTAAGGATAACCAATGAAGAAGAAATTCAAATCGTTCAAACAATGCGCGGCTGTAAGCGCCCACGTCGAAGACAGTGCAACTGAACTACATACATGATCATGTTTCGCCAGAATAGTGTTGTTGTTTGTAAAATTTGCTAAATGTTGCACTTCTAAGCGAACAACATAAGGATAATCTTCAGTGTTTTCTCCTCCAATCACTCTTAATGGTTGTTTCTTACCGGAACATTCAATCGTCAATAGTAACAATATAAGAAGCATTTCCGCAACTGATAAAGAAATTAGGAATAATTGCTCCTAACCTTAAGTTTTTATTTAGAACTGAAAGAATAACTTGTTGAATTTGTAAATCCTGTTACATTAAATGATAAGCTTTTATTGCATTTTTTATGAATGTGAAACAAATTTAAATTCGATAGTACAATGTAAAGACGGGTCACAAAATATGAAACTGCCAATACGTTCAGGTAAAGTAAATTGTGCCCTTTTCACTATGAAAATGCTTTCGAAATAATAATCTAAGTAATTCTTTTAGACAATAATATAATTCTAACGTTACAACACTTTAATACCAAGTCTATAAATTACAGATTACCAAAAATGGCGCGCTCATCTACTCGTATATCTATTCTTCTATTATAAAGAATATATTAATATTATAGAATTATACTCTATACTAATATTATAAAGAGGAAAGATTTGTATTTTTGTATGTATTGAAATAACTCAAAAACTACTGGACCGATTTTATGAATTCTTTCTGTTACGCAATCAGCACAGTATAGATTTTCTTGTTTACCCTAGATGTCAGTAATTAGAAACCATCTAGTTCGACTAGCATACGTTATACAGTTCTGAAGTTATACCCCAAATAACTAACACGAAATAGGATCTATAGCTTGGAGCAGGGTTCTCTATTTAAGCAATTATTTTTATGAATTACTTTTGAATATAACCTTGGCTGTGGACGTTCCCCAGAGCACTAAGCACTTTTACAAAAAAAATACACCTATTATGTGGCTTGTTTTGTCCCACATATAGTCGGTACGACGAGGATATTACTTAAAAACATCTGGTCAAATCAAATACACTATAAATTATTTGAAACTCGAAACCTTTAAAACTGAATTACCATAACATACTAATATTATAAATGCGAAAGTTTAGATGGATGGATGGCTGTTTGTTAGAGTATGTAGCCTAAACGGCTGAACGTATTTCGATTAAATTTCGTATAGATGTAAAGGGTAAGGAAGAACACATAGGCTACTCACTTTTGTTTTTTTAATTCTACGCGGACGGAGTCGTGGGCGAAAGTTAGTATTGAAAAAAATGAAACAACAAAATAGTCGTCGAAAAGAATAATTTTATAGTTACATGTTTGCTTCAATTGAAAACATAATGTACATACTCATCATCGTCATACTGTCGAGTTTATGTTCTGCCAAAAGCAACCATTGAGAGTCTATGGAGGAGAAGACGCAGACCAAGAAGCTTATCCGTATGTTGTTCGCTTGGAATTTGGTATTTTAATAAGATGTCTCATTAGCCTTCACTTCCATTGAAGTATTTGATGGACAACAGCATCTGTGCACAGAGTCTGCTGCCATCAACGTGGATGGTTACAGCGGCTCACTGCTTAACAAACAAAGACAAACAATGTAAAGAATTCAAATACAGTAGGTTAATAAAATGCTTTGGTTTTTCATAGATTACTAAAAGATAATAATAACATTAATTCGTGTTGTTTTAGTTATTCAGCGCCTACCTAGGAATTGCAAGAATAATTTCTTTTTATTTTAATGTTAAACAGAAAAAGTTAATCGGAAGTTTTTTCAAATTCATTTTATGAAATATTACTATGAAAAAAACATCTGAATAGAGATTTATTCATTATTAAATTTTCTATTAAGTTTCAATCCATTTAAAAAAATGCAAATATTCCAAGCCGCAATTATATGTGTTTCCCAGATAAGGCATTTCCATTTTAATTGGGCTAACCGTCATTCATATTTGATCCATTGCATAGACTGTTGTCTTTGCTTTATTTTACTATATCGCGGATTCGGTCGAAATCGTCCCAACCTTTTCGGAGATTACCCAAATCAAACGCGGCTTGTGGACTGACAGACAAAACATTTTTAAATGCGATTTTAGTTATCAGCAACGCAAATACATCATTTTCCCGAAATCTGGAAATTTTCATTTGATATTACAAACAGACAGTCCAACATTATTATATGTTGGACTGTCTGGTCGTGTATAGATGATAGTTATGTGTTTAGAATAGATTTGGAAAAATACGAGGTAGCTAATTTTATTACATGATCTTAACGAAAATCGGGTTCTCTCCATTAATATCGTAAGTATCTTACCAGTGGCCATGTATTAAATAATTAGCTGTTCCCATTCGACTTTATCCGCATGAAATTATAAAAATTTCATTTTATTGATCACATTTGTCAAATTATCAATTGCAAATGTCAAAATGACATGACATGATGTCAAACCATGTCAATCTTGCTTCCTTGATGTTGGCAACAACTTATGGTCTCTTTCCTACATTAGGGTTTTTATCCAAAATGTTCACCCCTAAGTTTAACGGCGTGAAAATATATAGCCTAAAGCGTGACGTAAGTGTAGGGCTTTTTATTAAAAAACAGGATTATTCGAAAATATGCCGTGATTGCTGACATCTTAGGTAACAAAGAAGTGTGTAGATTTATAGAATAGTATAGATTTAGAAGATAGATAGCGCTGAGCGCTGTGTACGCCTGTCATCTGTATGTTCTTCTGCTTCTATGTTTTTCATTGTATACGGTATATTAATTTGGTTGTGAACCTTGAACATGCAATTGGTGTACCTTTCCAATAAATAAATAAATAGATAATGTATAATTTATATAGTATTTAGTATAGATGTATCTTATTTTGGAGCTTGTTAAACAGTAATGTAAAACAAAGAAACTTACCAACATATTTTCTTGTCATGTACGTATAATTTCAAGAAATCAAATACATCAAAATCATATAAAATATCTAATACTCAAAACGCATACAATAGAATTACCCTGATAACATTTATGTGTTTAAATAAAATGAAATAATAAAACAGTCGTAGAAAAGAATAATTTTATGGTTACATGTTTGGTTTACTTGAAAACATAATGTACATATTTTTAATCGTCATTCCGTCGAGTTTATGTTCTGCCAAAAAACAACCATTGAGAGTCTATGGAGGAGAAGACGCAGAAAAAGAAGCATATCCGTATGTTGTTCGCCTTGAAATGAGGTATATGATAAAGATGGACAATGGTAGTGTAATAGATAAACATTTTCATCGATGTACGGCGTCTGCTCTTTCATCAACGTGGGCGCTCACAGCGGCTCACTGCATAACAGAATTAGACATTCATCCTAAAGGATTCCAACCTGTTAGATTTGTGATAAGATATGGTTCTGTTCTTCTTCTTCTTTTGGTGCCGTCTCCTAACGAAGATTGGCAATCATTACAGCGACTTGAAGTTTGGACACAGCAGCTCTAAATATAGAACGCGTACTTTTGTTGTACCATTGGCGAAGATTTTTAAGCCACGATGTTCTTCTCCTTCCTGGACTTCTTTTCCCTAGAATCTTACCCTGGTTCTGTTCATAGCTCACCAAACGATAAGAATACATTCAGTGATGTGGTTTTAGTGATTCCGCATCCTATGTTCATGCATCGAAAGACCAGGAAAGGTTCATTTTTAAAAAATGACATTGGTCTTATAAAAACAAATCCTATGCCATTAAAGAGATATATTAAACTAAGCCCTATTGATTTCAACACTATGTATGGCCATGAAGCTGTATTCGGTGGTTTTGGGGTCACTACGAAAAAAAAATCTGCTAACAAAATAATAAAAGGCGATACTCTGAAATTTAAAAAAACGTTACAAATATTTAAGGTGTTAATAACTAAATGTATGGAGGAACCGAGATCCGGGCCACATTTATGTTTAGGTCATCGATGTGGGAGCATCGCTACTGTATGTAATGGGGACTCTGGAGGGCCTGTCATTCATCCCTCAGGCATAGTTGCAATTTTATCCTCAAGTTATGTTAATAAGTATTGTGGAGATCCAACTCAGGAAACTAACATTGATAACTCTGGATTCACTTGCCCCGTAGGTCCTTATGTGGAATGGATAGCTAGTTATGTAAGACATTGAATGTGGAACAATTGGAAGGCACCAATCACCGCTTTTTAAAAAAAATGTTGTCTCTGACTCGTCTAGATATTTTTAAAATGTTTAAGCTTAAAATAAATAAATAGCATATACTTCGAAAGCATTTTGTTTTATTTTAATTTCAATTGAAAGATGAGGAGGAGGAAGATTGTGTTTTCAAGTGAACCAAAAATGTAGCTATAAAATACTGTTTTCCAATGAATGTTGTAAAGTTTTGTTTTGTTTAGGAACTTGCACAATGGTTATGTATAAGACTCATGCAAACAAAAATTCTAGTATTGTAGGTACTTAAATAATTTGAAGGTGTCAAAACTGTGATAAAATTTACATGTAAATTTCAAAACGCATAAATTCAATTATTGTGATAAAATTTAATGTCTTTAAATAAAACGAAACTGCAAAACAGTCGTTGAAAGAATATTTTTATAGTAACATGTTTGCTTCAATTGAAAATATAATGTACATACTCATCTTCGTCATGCTGTCGAGTTTATGTTCTGGAAAAAAGCAACCATTGAGAGTGTATGGAGGAGAAGACGCAGACAAAGAAGCATATCCGTATGTTGTCCGCCTTGAAATGAGGTATGTCATAAAGCTGGCCAATGGTAGTGTATTAGATACACAAACTCATCGATGTACGGCGTCTGCTCTATCATCAACGTGGGCGCTCACAGCGGCTCACTGCATAACAGAATTAGACATTCATCCTAAAGGATTCCAACCTGTAAGACTAGTGATAAGATATGGTTCTGTTCATAGCTCACCAAATGATAAGAACACATTCAGTGATGTTGTTTTAGTGATTCCGCATCCTATGTATATTCATCGAAAGTTCCGGAAAGGTTCATTTTTAAAAAATGATATTGGTCTTATAAAAACAAATCCTATGCCATTAAAGAGGTATATTAAACTAAGTCCTG